TAGTGTAGTAGTAGGACTTAGTAGCAGTAGTCCGTTTTTAGTATTAGTGGTAGTATCAGTAGAGTATTACTATTATAGTAAGTAGAGAAGTCGTTAGTCGTATATTGTCGTGTAGTAGTAAGTAGTAGTAGTAGTAGGAGTTCACAAAAAAAAAGGTAGTAGTAGCAGTAGTAGTAAGTTCGTAGTAGTAGTGTAGTAGTAGTAGTATTAGTCGTAGTATTATCAGTAGTAGTAGTATAGTAGTGTAGTGGGTAGTAGTCGTGGTAGGATAGTGGTAGTAGTAGTATTAGTCCCGTCTACTAGTAGTAGTATAGTAGTAGTAGCAGTAGTAGTAGTAGTAGCAGTAGTAGTAGTAGTAGCAGCAGTAGTAGTAGTAGTAGTAGCAGCAGTAGTAGCAGTAGTAGTAGTAGCAGCAGTAGTAGTAGTAGTAGTAGTAGTAGTAGTCGCAGCAGTAGTAGTAGTAGTAGTAGTAGTAGTAGTAGTAGTAGTAGTAGTAGTAGTAGTAGTAGTAGTCGTCGTCGTACTCGTCGTACTCGTAGGTGTTCCAGGAGGAGGGGGTGATGATGATGACGATGACGATGCCAATGGTGATGATGATGATCAGAATGATAACGAGTATGGTGGTGATGTTGCTGATTGTGATGATGATTATGGTGGGGTTGCGTGACATGACGATGGTGATGGCGGTGATAATGACGATGGTGATGGTGACGATGGTGATGGCTGCTTCTGATGATGATGACGGTGATAGTGACGATGGTGATGGTGACGGCGATGATGATGATGCTAATGGTGTCGATGCCGATGCCGATGGTGATGGTGGCGATGATGATACTGAGGGTGATGATGATGATGCTGATGCTGATGATGATGATGATGATGATGATGAGCATGATGCTGCTGATGATGAGGATGATGATGATGCTGATGATGATGATGATGAGGGTGATGCTGCTGATCATGAGGATCCCGTCTGGAACTATGGGGCAGTGGGAGGTGCATTAGTTTTGTTGCGCGGACGATTGCGCGAACTGTTGCGGGGGGGGGCACGACGTATTGCAAGGGGCAAACATATTGCGATTGAACAAATACGATTGCATCCACGCGCGACTGATGCGTCCAGGCCATAGACTGTTGCAGCCATGCGAAAACTACTGCAAGTGCTATTGCACCTACTTCCCCCCCAATCTTTGCTATCCCTGCTACTCCGGCTATGGTGATGCAGATGTTGCTGCTGCTGATGATGGGATTGATGCGGAGGAGGATGGCAACAATGACGCGAAGGAGGACCCGAGGGGCGCGGATGCTGGCGGACCCGCGCCCTCTTCCTCCTCCTCCTCCTCCTCCCCTCCTCTCCTCCCTCCTCCTCCTCCTCTCCCCCTCCCCTCCTCCTCCTCTCCTCCTCCTCCTCCTCCTCCTCCTCTCCTCCTCCTCCTCCTCCTCCTCCTCCTCCTCCCCCTCTCCTCCTCCTCCTCCTCCTCCTCCTCCTCCTCCTCCTCCTCCTCCTCCTCCTCCTCCTCCTCCTCCTCCTCCTCCTCCTCCCCACGGCGCCAGGGCGCGTGTGGGCTCTTCAGGGCGGAGGGCCGCCGATCCGCCAGCGAGAACTCCTCCGTCCTCCTTCCTCCCTCCCTCCCTCCGTCCTCCCTCCTCGCTCCTCCTTCCTTCTCCCTCCTCGCTCCTCCCTCCTCCTCTTCTCCTCCTCCTCCACCCCTCTTCCTTTTTCATACCCCTTCCCTGTCGCACCCCAGCTCGTCGGTAGGGCGGGCCAGCCGTTTCGCATCCTGAAATGTGAAGATTGTGATGTAAGCGGGTGGTTTTCAAACTGTGGCTCTCGCTTTTGTCGCCGCGGGCAGAAGTTCCAAAGCTTGCAGCAAGTTCGAGGATAGAGGGCGGGCCCTTTTCAACATGCGCCTCTCGCCTCAGCGCCGCGCACATCCATCTTAGAAGTTAGCAAGAGCTTCAACGATGTAGGGCGTGCCGTTGTCAAAATGCGGCTGTCGCCTCAGCGCCGCGCCCACCCGTCATAAAAGCTTGCAGCATTTTCAAAGTAGATGGTGTTTTTGTTTTCCAAGTGTTGCCGTCGCTTCAGAGCCGTGCGCGTTCGCTCTCCAAGTTTACAGGAAGTTTAAGGGTTCGTGGAATTGGAGTGCAGCCAGTGGTGTTCTGACACGAATTCAGATTGTCAGGTGCAACAATCACGTTGATTCGCGGTGTGGTTCTCACAGAAATGGTGTTCTGGCGCGACGTAGGATTGTTGGGACGGGACACTCACGTTGATTCGCTGCGCAGAGGTCTCAAGCATGGTGTTTTGGCGCGTTTGAAGATTATCAGAACAATGTTTTTCATTGGGGCACCTCCCGGAATTTAGCATTTTTTGTAGGGCTTGGACGTCGGGTTTCTTGCAACATCGTCGATGCGTTTTGGGTGTGCACTGGTCCTCCTCCCCCTCCTCCTCCTCCTCCTCGTCCTCCAGAGACCGCCGATCTGACTCTTCAGCCTTCAGCCCGAGGCCCCAGGAGGTCCCGACCGACCCCCTTGGGACTATTTTTCGTTATGAAGATGTAACACATCTGTAGGTGAGTGTATATCTATATGTGTATACATATACATATGTATGCAAGCTTTGATGGGTCGCTTCGCTTCGCCTCAACTCTTGGTCCTGTGTCCGTGTGCCTTCAGGCACCCGTGGGAAGATAGGAAGGTGGGGCGCTGTTAAGAGCAAGGCTTGGGGAACAACAAGAAGAAATTGGCCGCCCCGAAGTCGGGCTGGGCAAACGGCATGTCCGAATACGGAAACATTGAGATGGACTTCGATGCAAATTGACCAGGACGACCTTATGTCCTCACCTCCCGAAGAGCATGCGAAGGCGACTGGAACGACGAAAAATCATGACCACGAAAGGATGGAGGTCATGGTCTCGAAAAGGGTTGAGATATGAACATGGTGGAGATTGAGGGCATGGCCGTGGCAAATGTTCAAATCATGACCGCGACGGGGCTGACGGTAACACGGAAAAAGGCGGTCATGGTGATGATCATGTCATGTGAGGGCGAGGGGTGTAACCGTATGGTCAAACATGGTACGGGGTTCCAGGTATACACCTTGAATTAGGGTGAGCGCCATGTCGGGTTCAATTCCCATCGGTTGCAGAAGAAGTTGTAGGCCTCTCGGCCGGACACAGCTGCTGGTGAGTTGTCTGGAGGGCAGCGGCAGATCGAGCACACCATGTCTTTCTCGGAGTGGTTGTCGGGCCGTATCTCAATCCGCAAGCACCTCTCCGGGACGATCCAGGCGCCCCGGCAACGCACTCGGCGAGGTGCAGCTGCTGGAAGGCATCGCGAGGCGAGATAACGTTCAAGAGTCAACAATATATTGCATGAACCAGGATCCACGATGTCGCGTCAGGCACTTGCCCGCTTGTCCGAGGAAGCTCATGGCGCCGCCCGCCCTTGGGGCCCTCAGCGTCAAGCGTTTCTGTTCACGACAAAGCTTCGATGCAGTCAGGCAGGGTCTTAATCCCAATTTGCGATGGGCCTGTTTTCCACCACCACCAAAAGTTCGCAGAGGAGGGCGCCCTCCTCTTCCTCCTCCTCCTCCCTATCCTCCCTCTCCTCCTCCTCCCCCTCCTACTCCTCCCCTCCTTCTCCTCCTCCTCCTCCTCCTCCTCCTCCACCTGGGGGGGGGAGCCAGGGTCGGCCACGCTGCGAAGGAAGGATGATGATGAGGAGGAGGAGGAGGTGGAGGGGGGGAGGGGGGGGAGGAGGGGATGAGGAGAGAGGAGGAGGAGGAGGGAGGAGGGAGGAGAGGAGGCGTAGGAGAGGAGGAAGAGGCGGAGGAGGAGGATGAATATGAGGTAGGCGGAGGAGGAGGAGGAGAAGGAGGAAGAAGGAGGAGGAGGAGGAGGAATGAGGAGGAGGAGAAAAGATGGGATGTGGATGAGGATGATGATGATTATGAATGATGATGATGATGATGATGTGAGGAGGAGGAGGAGGAGGCTGAGGAGGAGGCGGGAATTATGACTACAGCAAGAAAGAGACGATGATGTGATGATGATGATGATGATGAGACGGGGAGGAGGAGGAGGAGGAAGAGGAGGGGGGGAAAGGGAGGGGGGGGGGGGGGAGGGGAGAGGGGGAGAAGGCTGAGGAGGAGGAGGGAGGAGGAGAAGACTCCTCCTCCTCCTCCTCCTCCTCCTCCTCCTCCTCCTCCTCCTCCTCCCCCTCCCCCTCCTCCTCCCCCTCCTCCTCCTGCCTGTCCCCCCGTCGGAGCGTGGGCTCCCGCCGCGCTGGGAGGGGGGGGGGAGGCGGGAGCGAGAGCGAGAGCTAAATAGAGAAAGAGAAAAAGAGAGAGAGAGAGAGAGAGAGAGAGAAAGAGAGAGAAAGAGAGAAAGAGAGAGAGAGAGAGAGAGAGATAGAGAGGCGGAGGGAGAGGTAACGGGAGGGCCAAGAACAAAGGGGCGCGGGAGAGAGGGAGGCAGAGGAGGACGCAACTCTCCGACGATGGGAGTTCTGCAGCCCTGGCGCTTTATCATCGGTCTCGGCCTCCGGGGCCAGTCCTTGGGCCCTGGGGGCATCAAGAACGGATCCGTGGCGAGAAACTATACTCGGAGGAGCGGTCGGGACCACGCGGACCGCGGGTGAACAAACAACTGTTTCGGCGGATGCCATGGGGAGGGGGAGGGGATGGGGGAAAGGCGGCCCAGGGTGGAGTGGGGGAGGGAGGAAGGGAGGGAGAGAGGGAGGGAGGGAGTGGAGGGAGGGAGGGAGGGAGGGAGGGAGTGGAGGGAGGGCAGTGGGGGAGGGGAGGAGGGAGTGGAGTGGAGTGGAGTGGAGTGGAGTGGAGTGGAGTGGAGTGGAGTGGAGTGGAGTGGAGTGGAGTGGAGTGGAGGGGGTGGATGCATGGAGGGAGGGAGGGAGTGGATGGAGGGGGAGCGAGGGGACGTGGCATTCAATCCAAACCTCCCTTGGCAGTCGCCCTCGCTCTCGCCACCCAGAGCCTGTACTCTATCAGCACGCCTGGGCTCGACGACGACTGGGCGTAGTAGTCCGCTGGCCACTCTGGGTAGCTGCCTAGCGTCGTCCCCCGCCTGCTCTCACTGGAATGCGTTTCTTGTCGTGCGCCGCTCTCGATATCACTTGGCGAGAGCCTTCAGGAATAAGTATCGCGACGATGGACCCCGCTGCTGGATGGCACTGGACTGCAACCTGGTCGGCGCCTTGCGACCCGCACATCGTCCCAGCAAGACGCCCCTGCCACCAGGGCAAACAGCGACGCGAAAGGAAGACGAGGCAGTGGATGAGGATGAGGTTCACCGCTCAATGGAGGGACGGCGCAGAACATAAAAGGAAGAGGAAAGAGACGACGAGGATGATCATGTGGATGACGATGGCGATGATGTTGTTGATGTTCGGAGCCAGAACACTGATAAGAATGCGGTGAGAAAGATGACGATGAAGAGGACGAGGTCTCCCCAATCTCCCTTCCTCCTCCGCCTCCTCCGCCTCTCCACCACCACCTCTTCTCCTCCTTTTTCCCCCTTCCTCGTCCGTTCGTCGTCCTCCTCCTCCTCCTCTTCCTCCATCCCTTTTCCTTACAGATAACTCCTCCCTGCCGCGCCACCGGACGTGTCGCTGGGGCGGGCCAGATGCTTCGCCAGAGACTTCGCCACAACTCAGGAACTCGAAGCTAGACGTTTCCAACACTGACACGGGTGGAGCACATGTCGTTTCCAAAACGGGGCTCTCGCCTTGGCGCTCCGCACACTCGTCTTGAACAGGTCCGACAGCTACACGTGTCGTTTTCCATGTGGGCTCCTCGCCTTGGCGTAGCGCATATTCGTTTTAAACAGCCAGCACTGTCCGCTTTCAGAAAGAAGCTCTCGCTTTCGCGCCGCGCACAAACGCCTTCTGCGTTTTCGACCGTCGGTCCTTTTCCAAAGTGGGGTTCCCGCTGGAGACTTCCTAACACCCAGTAGCCCGAAGTTCAAAACAATGCAACGCTGACATGGTTGGATGGCGGCTCCCTTTTCTATGGGGATCTCGCTGAAGATCTCCGAGCACTTTCTGACACCAGCTCCAGGGTAGTGCAGCGCGTGCGCGGACGGTGGGGATACCCTCTTCAAGCAGAACTACCACTGCACACTTGGCCGATTCCGGCAACCCTGAATCCAAAACGGTTGTCATCTCTGGGGAGGTCGACTTTTGCTTCCGCGGACTTCCGCGGAGCTTTCACTGGCCTTCCGGCGGCGGAGGCGGCCTCGTTTTATTTCCGCCGCCTTTCGCCAGCCTTCCGCCGCCTTCCGCCGAGGAAGGGATGCCAACTCCTCCTATCCTCGAAGGCGAGGCCCTTTTTGAAACGCGCCACTTATTGAACTGTGTAACCCTACCCTCGCTGCACTTCTGACAGCTGAGAGGGTGGCCCTTACAAAACGGGGCCTCGCCTGAATGACAGGCTCACGGGGCAAACGTCTGTCCATGTGGGGCGGCTCCAGCACTGGAAACGGACTCCATTTAGGGACTCACGAGGAGGGGACTCAGGACGCGAGGGTGTATTGCAGCATCGCTACGGTCGGGAACGTTTGCTTCGCGGGTCGCGGCGGCGGCCCTGGCGACGCGGTACGTCTTGCGAGTGGATAGCGTGTCGCTCCGCTCCGCGGGGTGGGAGGTCGTGAAAGGCTCGGGACGTTGACGCTTGGGGACTGTGACATGGATAGCGTGTCGAGCCGAAGCGTGGTGGGCCAGAGCCAGCGGAGCCACACGCTGACAAAAAGTTCACGACCGTAGTGCATCTTGGGTATACTCTGGCCCTTTTCCTCCTCCTCCTCCTCCTCCCTTCCTCCTCCTCCTCCTCCTCCTCCACTCCTCCTCCTCCTCCTCCTCCTCCTCCTCCTCCTCCTCCTCCTCCTCCTCCTCCTCCTCCTCCTCCTCCTCCTCCTCCCCCTTCCTCCTCCTCCGTTGGGAATGGGCGTTGCGCCCTCCGCCGGGAGCGGGCGGCACTGGCGTCAGCCGCGGAGATCCCTGACGACTCTGGCCGGCACCCAGCCGTCCTCGGGGCCGGCGCTGGAGGGTCCCACGTCAGCAGCGGGGTCCCACGCTGTGCCCTTCACTGCTCACGCGCTCATCTCCCCACGCCCCGGCACTTCGGGGCGCAGGGGAAGGGCGAGGGCGTGCAGAGGAGGGGGACGAGGAGGGGAGGCGGACGATGAGTAGGGGCATGAGGCTGGAGGGGGGAGGAGGTGGAGAGGCAGGACGTCGTTGTGCGACGTCTTCAAAGGGAAGGGGGGAGGTAGGAGGAGGCCTGGGGAGGGGGAGGAGGAGGAGGAGGAGGAGGAGAAGGAGGAGGAGGAGGAGCAGCAGGAGGAGCACGAGCAGGAAGTGGAGGGGGAGGAGGATGAGGGCTCTTCTCGCGCCTCCCCCTCAGGCATCCTCAAACCAGCCCCTCACGCCTGCTCTCCATCCACCCTTTCTTCGCTCGCCTCCTCCTTCCCATCCCCTCCCCGTCGCCATCGCCCTCCCTCTTCCCCGCACTCCCCGCCCCCCCTCCAGTTCTCTCCTCCTCCTCCTCCTCCTCCTCCTCCTCATTCTCCTCACTTCCTTCGCCTCCTGTTCCATCTCCTGCTCTTCCCGCTCCTCTTCCTGCTGTTGCTCCTCCTCCCCGCCGCCAGTGATCCCTGTCAGATGTTCTTCACCTTCAATATTCGTCCTTCTCCTCGACCTCCTCCTCCTCCTCCTCCTCCTCCTCCTCCTCCTCCTCCTCCCGCTTCCTTTAGCAGCCATCTGCCAAAATACATCATCATTGCTTTCCTCTATATCCACCTGAGTCGTGTCACACGCCGCGAATCCTCAGGTTGGGCCGCGCTATGTCTTAACATTGATTCGTCATGGCCCCTGGCAAGTTCTGCGCTTTCCCGGCGCGCCAGCGACCAATCACAAACTCAGGATCACTCCTTTCCCTCTTCCCCCTTGCGCTTGCACACCTGTCAACGAATGCTCATCGACCTCTTCGGGGCGTAGGCCGACACACACACAGCTTGAAAACTTTGATGCTGCAAGACAGGGGGGCGGGAGGACTGCACGCCGAAAGCCAGCGAGCGAGCAGGGCTAGAACCCTCCAGCGGAACACAACGGACATTCGGGAAGGAAGGCCCAAAGATGCCCGGAGAGATGAGGGAGGGCAGGATGCCAGACGTCAGAACATCGGTGGACGATGCATGTGGTGCCCGCTGGGTCGGGCCGCAGTGGAAGCCGAGGTCGTCGGGGAGACCCACAGCCGGGCTGGGCAGGGCTCGTTCCGGTGGGCCGCTGGGGAAGCCGGGGACGGCGTGAGCCTAGCACGGGCGCGAGGAGCGCCAGAGGCGGGTCAGGGGGGGCGATGGGCCGCAGCGCTAAGTCGGGCGTGTCCCCCTACAGGAGGATCTTGGGCGAAAACCAAAAAAGCGCAACAAATGCCCCCCAAATGCTCGAACATCGTCAAAAAATCGTCCCCGCACTATGTTTTGACTATTTTGGAGCATCCCCCCTGTAGAGGGACAGGCCCGACTCAACCGCAGCGGGAGGGGGAAGCACGGGAAGTGCTGCGCCGCCACCGAGCATCGGCAGGCGCGGGAGGGGTGCCAGCCTGGCCGGGTGGCCGCCGGGTGCTGCGCTGCGGAGCAGAGGGCCGCGTGTGCAGCTTCGCTGGCTCGCGCGCCTCTCGGAACAAGACGTGCCTTCATAGAGAACAGAACACATACCCCCAAAGGAGGATGATGAGGAGGAGGAGGAGGACGAGGAGGATGAATATGGGGACGAGGATGATGATGATGATGATGATGATGATGATGATGATGATGATGATGATGATGATGATGATGATGATGATGATGATGATGATGATGATGATGATGATGATGATGATGATTATCATCCTCCTGATGATTGCACGATGATGATCCCGATGATGAGAGAGATGATGATGAGGAGGATGATGTATGAGATGATGATGATGCGATGATTGATGATGAGGCGGAGGAGGAGGGAGGAGGATCAGGAGGAGAGGAGGATCAGGAGGAGGAGGAGGAGGAGGGGGAGGATAGTGAGCATCCCGGCCAGCGACACCGCTCAGTAAACGCACCCAAGGCAGAGATCGAGCAGGGCAAGGCCGTTTAACAAACGCCCAAGGCCGTCTAGTAAACGCCACTTACCGGATCCGGGTGTTTTTTCCCCCCTTGACATCACCACGGCGGCCAAAGCCCGCTCAGCATGCCCCACCCGCAGGGCCCCTTCCAGGCCTCGTCCTGGCCCGCCTCTCCAACGACGCCCAGCCGCGAGCGAGATGGCCTGGTCCTAACTCCCAACCCCTCCCTCACCCTCACCCCCGCGCACCCCCTTCGGTGGCAGCTCATGGGAACCTCTCATACCATCGTGTCGGCTATTGCGAATCGACGCTACATCGACGCTAATCGACGCTAGCTCGGCGCTGTATCATCGACTCCCAGACGCTAATCGACGCCAGTCGACGCTAAAAACGAAATAGGAAGGACATACCAGGCTCCCATGATTTGCTACCAACCACCCCCAAAACACACACACACACACGCACACCCACACGCACCCGCACACACACACACACACACGCACACGCACACGCTCACGCACATACACACACACACACGTACACGTACACGTATACGTACACGCACACGCACACGCACACGTACATGTACACGTACATGTACACGTACACGCACACGCGCACGCACACGCACACGCACACGTACACGTACACATACACGTACACGCACACGCACACGCACACGCACACGCACACGCACACGCACACGCACACGCGCACGCACACGCACACGCACACGCACACGCACACGCACCCGCACCCGCACCCGCACCCGCACCCGCACCCGCACCTGCACCCGCACCCGCACCCGCCCGCCACCCGCCACCCGCCACCCGCCACCCGCCACCAGCCACCCGCCACCCGCACTCGCACACGCACACGCATACATGCACACGCACGCACGCACACGCGCACACGCACACACGCCGCACACCCACACGCACACGCACACCCCCGCAAACGCGCACACCCACACCCTATCCACAAACACACCCCGCACACCCGCACACCCGCACACGCACACGCACACGCACACGCACACGCACACGCGCACACACACATACACACACGCACACGCACACGCGGACGCACACACACATGCACACACACAGGCACACCCACACGCACACCCACACGCACACCCACACGCAAACTCGCACCCACACCCACTCGCACACGCACGCGCACACGCACACGCACACACGCACACACACACACACCCACACGCACACGCACACGCACACACACACGCGCACACACCACACACGCACACGCACACGCAACACAGGCACACACACACACGAACACGCACACGCACTCACACACACGCACGCGCACACGCGCACGCACGTGCACACACACACACGGACACGCACACGCACACGCACACACACACGCACACGCACACGCACACACACACACACGCACACACACACACACACACGCACACACACACACACACACGCACACACCCACACCCACACACACGCAGACACCCACACCCACACCCACACACACACACGCACGCACACAACACACCCACACACATGCACACACACACACGCACACGCACACGCACACACGCACACACACACACACGCACGCACACTCGCACCCACACCTACACGCACACGCACACCCACACACACACACCCACACCCACACCCACACGCACACGCACACGCACACACACACACACGCACTCACACACACACACTTTTGGTATCGCGGCCTCGCGCGCAACGAGGCAGAGCAAGTCGACCAAGCAGCGCGGAACTCACGCGCGCGCCCAGGCCCTCAGACGAAAGGGAAACTTAACTGGACCGCCCATAGGCCACTCGGGCGTGGGTGGCGAGTGAGAAAACCGAGACGAGGCCCGAAGACGGTGACGAGCAGCCCGGCGACAGACCAAACGACCCTGAGATCCTGGCGACTCAATTTTTTCGAGCCGTGCGGTTTTGCTCAATGTCGGGCCCTGGGGTCCTCACAGATCGATCCGGCTCCAGAAATGACACAGAAAGATGAGGTCTGGGTATCCAGTCGTGATCTTTTGCGATGCTGCATTTTTGGGGGCAATGTCGGACCTTAGGGGACAGCGACCACCCGCGCACTTCTTGGCAGTCGCGCCCCCGCGCGCGGCGACGAGGCGGAGCGCATTCACAGCGACCACACGCACGGCAGAAAACGACAAACACGGCACCAGCCCTGGCCCCTGTCCGTTCGGGCCCCGTGCCCGCGGTCCCCGCCCAGGCCCCGCAGCGCCGACCCCCAGGGGTCTGGACCCCGTCCCCGGGGCCGGCTTTCCATCCCGATCCGTTTCTGGACGGCCCCGAGGCTGGGCGAGGGCCCCAAGATGCCGATCATAGCGAGCAACCTCCTGCCGTGATTTTTCCACTGCGCGCCGGGGTATGGGCCTCCCAGACATGCGACGCTCGGATTTTGTCAACACATGCACCGTCCCCAAAAGGTCCCGGATCTTTCCTCAGGACTGGCTTTTCATCATGGGTCGGTTTTGGACGATCCCAGGGCCCAGCAAGGGCCCCATCGGGGGCCGAAAATAAAGAAAAACCTCCCGCCCTGATTTTTCAACGACGCGATCATATTGTTTCGCGACGTCGGCTGTCAGGGGAGGAGGAGGGAGGAGGAGGAGGAGGAGGGGGAGGAGGAGGAGGAGGAGGAAGAGGGCCTCCGTTGCCATTTTGGCTCAAGCCATGTTGGCTCAAGGCGTTTGGCCGAGGCACTGGGGAGGGACGCGCCACCCCCGCCCTGGCGGGGCAGCGCCCAGCGCGGCGCCATACGCCCGCGAGGAAGAGGTACATGTCCCTGTCCTTTTTTTTGTTTCGCGCGAAGCCCGCCCGATC